TAACAGCAGGGGCTTCCCTGATGGCTCAGTGGCAAAGAATCTGCCTGCCAATGCAGGAGACCTGGGTTTGACCCCTGGTCCCGTGTGCCATGAGCAACTAAGCCCCATGCCAACTACTGAGCCTGTGCTCTACAGCTTGGGAGCCTCAGGGACCGAGCCCGTGTGCTGCAACTGCTGAAGTCCGTGCACCTTAGAGCTCTGCAACAAGAGAAGCCACTGCAAAGAAAAGCCAGCACACCACGAGAGAGAGCAGCCCTCGCTCAGCTCAACTAGAGAAAAGTCCATGCAGCAACAAAGACCTAGAACAGCCAAAAATAAATGAATTTTAAAAAAAATCTTAAAAAAAAAGAATACGATTGATGTGAGGATTAAATGAGATAATGCATATAAGCCCTTTGCCTTGCACTGCAAGTCCTAGAAAGTATTCGCTATTAGTCTTTCAACATATACTTTCTCCCTTTTACCCCAGTATGCTAATGACTGACAATAAACATGGATTATGATGCATCTAATGAAGTTAGGTTAATGTTAAAGGCAGATCCACTCACATTTACTCCATTACGCTTTACTCTCAATGTAAGAATAGTAATGTCAAAAATCCAAAATGACTGGTCTGTCTTCTCAAATTGAGGGAAGAAAATAAGAGATAGGATTTTTATCTTCATAATTCCCAACTGTGTTTACTCATATACCAAGAACACCAAAGACAACTTCACTGAAATAGCCTTTTATTAAAAATCACCAGATCTTCATAGGGGTAAGGTAGGGAATGAGTGAAACGTTAGTGTCCTTAGATTTACTTATAAGAACAGAGACAGATATAATTATTGCAGCCCCCGAGCCCATCTCTTCCCAATTTTAGTGATAGCATATTTGCTGGAGGGAGAGGGAAAGAACAAAAGCCCTATTACAGAAGTATACTTGAAAATCCTGAGTCATTCTTATTTTAGCTTCTTTTAAGATGGGCTATGGAACAGTTCTAGGGATTCAGAATATGTAATAAAGATTTAGTTTAAAAAATTCAATGAGGGAAACCATCATTGTTTCATTCTAATTTCTGTAACATACTCTGTAGTAATAACCAGCTGTCTTAGGTTGTTCCAGTTCTTGTTTTTCCAGACTTTCTGGGGCTAAAAAAGATGCTTAAGCATTGTTTCAAAAGGTCTGTACGCAAGCATAGTAAACAGGAGTGAGGACCCAAACTGCTCTAACACAGTTCTTGCCCCTCCGCTGTAAAGCCAGCCAGTAAGCCACTGTACAATATTTATGCTGCAGTCCATCTGTATTATTTTTCTTCATTATGATGAAGTAGTTACTGCCATAACATATAGGTGTAAAACTAAGCTGCCAAGCCAATGTTTGTTTTAAAGGCAACTGAACACATTATGTTATAGAAGTTTTACCACAGTGATACTGCTCTAGCCTCATATTCCTAATTATCATCTTCAGGGGTCCTTCTAAAGGTTTTTGTTTTTGTATGGCGTTTAATCCTTTACAGTTTTTGTCCCTGTACTCTTTACAGAATATACAAGAATGGAATCTCAGACTCAGGACTAATCTTAAAGCTCTTCTAAAGACGCTTCTTTTTGTAAGAGCAAGGAAGGTTAGGTGACCTATTCATGTTAACATACCACAGGGAAGAACAAAGACAGGAACCCTGGCTTCCTAACACCCAGCTGGATGCACTCCCCATGAGACCATGCGACCTCTAGATAGGTGTGCCGAAGGTACAACGTCAACTGAGAGCTGCCTCTTCTCTGCTCAAAATTCCAGGAAACATAAAAAACTGTCCAAAAGTCTGTTCTTTTTATCTCCACTGCTGTCCTGTAGATACGTTTATCAGTACCATCTTTCTAGATTCCATATATATGAGTTAGTATATGGCATTTGTCTTTCTCTGACTTACTTCACTCTGTATAATAGGCTCTATGTTCATCCACCTCATTAGAACTGACTCAAATGCATTCCTTTTTATAGCTGAGTAATACTCCAATGTGTATATGTGCCACAATTTCTTTGTCCATTCATCTCTTGATGAACATTTAGGTTGCTTTCATGTCCTAGCTGTTGAAAGCGCTGCAATGAACACTGGGATTCTATTTTATGGAAATAGAGTCTTTTCAATTATGGTTTCCTCAGGGTATATGCCCAGTAGTGGTTTTATTCCTAGTTTTTAAAGGAATCCTCATACTGTTCACCATAGTGGCTGTATCAATTTGCATTCCCACCACAGTGCAAGATGGTTCCCTTTTCTCCAAACCCTCTCCAGCATTTACTGCTTGTGGACTTTTTGATGATGGCCATTCTGACCATTGTAGTTTTGATTTGCATTTCTCTAATAATAAGCCATGTTCAGCATGTTTTCATGTACTTATTAGCCATCTGTATGTCTTCTTCGGAGAAATGCCTGTTTAAGTCTTCTGCCTACTTTCTGATTGGGTTGTTTGTTTTTCTGTTATTGAGCTTCATTAGCTACTTGCATATTTTAGATTAGTTCTTTGTCAGTTGTTTCATCTGCTATTAATTTCTCCCGTTCTGAAGGTTGTCTTTTTACCTTGCTGATAGTTTCCTTCATTGTCTAAAAACTTCTAAGTTTAATTAGGTCCCATTTGTTTATTTTTGTTTTAATTTCCATTACTTTCAGCATAGTGCACTTTACTGAGAAAATCTGGGTACAGAAGGTGGTTGTATAAATTCTCAGCAATTCTTCAGTCTACTTGCAAAGATAACTGCTGACAGAAGACCTATTACCTTAAACCTACCAACTTCAAGACAGACATTCAAAGGGGGAGCAGTGGGAACAAAGAGGTCTGATGAGGCCATTTACTCTGGGGTCCTCTCAATTAAACAATGATGCCACAGTCATGCTGGTGGTCCTGGAGGTTCATATCCCTACATCAGCAAGAATGAAAAAATGTTTAACCATTGTCACTTTCTGCTATGTTAAGAAAAAAAATCTGTACTTGACTGTGATTGCTGTCTTACTAAATACAAGATTAATCTCCCATGAGCCATCAACTCACTGAGGACCCAAAGGAGAAGTGGGCAGTGACCCAGCCAGCATTAGAGCTTGAAGACAGGACTGTTGGACAGGAAGCAGAAGTCGCCATGACATACAAATGCCTACGGGTACAAGGAAAGCAGAAACTCAGAAAGAATTTAACTCCTTAGTTACTTGCTATTTCCTTTCCCAGACCCTTGCTTGGCTAGCAACTAACGTGTAGAGTTGGAAAAAAGAATGAAACTACTCAACACTGAGACATGCTGGTGAATGGGGTGGGGTGGATTGCCTCCCTTCTCCTACACTTGGCCTGCGAACAAACTAAAATCTGCTCTATCTGTGACAGATAAAGCTAAAAGGTCTTTGTAATTCAGCCACTAACTTGCAACAAGTCACATGGTCCACGAAGTTCAATTTGATGTATGGGCTATTATTTTTTCAAGATTAAAAAAAAAAAAAGAATACTAAACTAACTGAAGACGTTTAAAAGTATTTATAAAGAAATTAGTAAAAAATCACATTTAAGATTTTCAAATAGTGGTTCTCAACTTTTTTCCTTAGGACCTTATTACATCTTTACCAGTTCATTTAAAATAACAATAGATTCATATGTTAGCATAAATTATTTTTATGGAAAATAATTTCCCCCAAACCAAAAAAAAAAAAACACAGTGAGAAGAGTGGTGTTGTTTAATAATTGTTACAAATGTAAAATGCGTCTGACAATAAAAGACAATCTGATTCTCATACCTACTTTTGGATTCATCTGTTGCAACTGCAAGTTTTGGTTGAAGTATATGGAAAAAATCCAAATCCACAAAGGTAATAGAAAAGACAGGAGTTTTTTTAATAGCCTTTTCAGATAATCATGAATATAATCATCTGATACTATATCAAAATTGGACAGATATTAGTTTCATAAAGGTCAGGTGCAATGTGGAATCTGAGATATCAATGAACTTTTCATATGATGTTACATTAAAATCCACTGGTCTAACTTACACATCCAATGGACCTTTTACTCATGAGTGACTTTGTAACATCTTGCATTGGTCCCTGGGAAAACACTGTTCACTGAGTCACACAATCTTCCGAATGTTAACACTTTCATTGTATCACATCTTAAAGCACACTCATTCACACTCACTGATCTCATCAGAAGCCTTTCACGTCTGGGAAGCTGTCCAGCTCTGAGCAGCAGATACACATTTTCCCAAACTGCCCTTCTCACTTGGAAACTCAATGGTAAGAAATGTTGTCACCTGTCCTGGAAGTGACAGGCTCACTGGATTAATCTGCAAGAAATTATCTTCCAAATACAGAATAGTCAAGTCTGAATAATCACAGCTTGCCCTTTCAAATAAAAATGATGCTTCACAGAACAATCCAGCCAGTTCAGTTCTCAACCAAAAGTGCACAAGTGGTTCCCCTTGAGATAACCTCTCTGTGTGTTGGGTGGGGGGGCGGCGGCGCGGCAGGACTGGGGATGGGGTTGCCAAAATGCTTTATGTGTCCTTTCCCATCTGTCTCAAAATACCAAAACAATGTGAAACTCAACGATTAGGATTTAATAAAATTAATATTTTTTTACACCGTGTCAAGAACATTCTTAAGTGAAACTGGCCTTCCTCTGTCTTTCTTCTTTAAGCAGTGCAGACAGGAAGAACACACTACTACTAGTGTAGTCTGATGTCACTGCCTAGATTCGCGCTGAGGCTCCAGCAGCTTTTCACCACTGCAGCTTAGAACCATCAGTGCGAATGTCAACACAGTAAAAGTAATATATAACATCTTAGTATTATAATGAAAACAATTTTGACACTATGGACCCCCAGAAGAATCTCAGAGACCCCACAGGCATCCATGAACTGCACTTTGATAACTACTGCTCCAAAATATCTTCACTTTTGGCAAGGATAAGATCCACTAGCTCCCACATAATATAAACAGCAATAAATCTAAGCAAATCACAACTAAAAAAAAAAAAATACCCTCTTACCTTTGCCAAGACTAAAGACAAATGGTTCATTTCTATCATGACTGGAATCAAACTTCTTTCCATTTGACAATTTCCCTTTGTAATGGACATAAACTTTGTCTCCAATCATTGGTGTTTCCTCACTATTTCCCACTCTTTTGACAATCTAGGAAAGACAAGCGTCAAGAAAAAAGGAGGTTAAACACTTTACTTTTAATCGGAGAATAAAAATGTCACACAGTCCATGCCCCATCACGCAGGCAGATTTGTAAACAAATGTCTGTCCTTTCTAAAGGCCTCCCTCCCAGTTCTTGCAAAAACCTTCACTGTTAGAAAACTGTCTTATACCACTAAATATTTAATACTATATTTAATTGTACTGTTAACCACACTATTCTCTCAAAATAATAAACCAGTAGAGCTTGTTTTATTGGTTTAATGCCCCCTGTTTTGACACTAAAATCTCTGAAAACACAGAGCTAGTTCATGTACAAACTGAATTAGGCCCAAAAGATTAGTGGACTTTCAAAAACATTCAAAAGTAAGTCTGAAGGAAAGTTTCAAAGGTAAGATTTTTACTTCTCTCTTTTGCTAAAAACATTAGCTTTTGACTAGATTCCATTAGTTTGGTTTTATTTCAAAAAGCCCAATTTTCTGATATAACAGGTTATATTTCCTACTATCTGAAGAATATGCAATGTGTGAAAATAAAAAAAAGTTTGATATGATACTGAATAACTTGTGTTCTAGTAAAGGAAATGCCAGAAAGTTCCAAGTTGAAAAATATTTAACTATCATAAAACCAGTATTTTGTTCTTGGCAGAGCAAGACACTAATAGAGTTGGTCAAGTTCTGGGAAAAGAAAATCAAATCCAGGCATGTGGTGTATAATTTTTTCTGTCAATCACTTATGCCAAATTAATCATTTTTGCTAGATAACAGAGGATGGTAATTAAACATCTTTTGTGAGGAAGGGTCTGAGTTTTTATCTGAAGAATTCAATTATTTGCTCCTGAATTCTTTCTTGAGATATAACCTCCTTGTTCCACCCTCATATCATCACATAAACACTGTGAACTAAGATTCTACAACTTTCTTAGTTCAAAAGCCCAGACATTCTAAATGAAAAAAAAAAAAAAAAAACAAACAAAAAAACTATCGCAACTTCATAAAAAACTGAACTTAATGAATTCAGTAAAGTTGCAGGATTACAAACTCAACATACAGAAATAAGTTGTGTTTCTACACACAACAAAATATCTGAAGAGGAAATACTGTAGAGAAAACAATCCCAGAAATGCAAATGAATCCGAATGGCAATTATCAAAAAGAAATCACAAGTGTCGGTAAGGATGTGGAGAAAAGGGAGCCCTTGTGTATTGTTGGTGGGAATATATACTGGTACTGCCATCATGAAAAGCAGTATGGAGGTTCCTCAAAATACTAAAAGTAGAACTACTGTGTGATCCTACAATTCCACTTGTAGATATTTACCCAAAAGAAATGAAAATACTAACTGAAAAAAGATATATGCAACACCATGTTCACTGCAGCATTATTACATTAGCCAAGATATGAAAACAGCCTATGTTCACTGATAAATGAATGCATAAAGAAAAAAAAAAAAAAACCACATATATGGTGACTTCCCTGATGGTCCAGTGGCTAAGACTACATGCTCCCAAAGCAGAGAACCAGGGTTCGATCCCTGATCAGAGAACAAGATCTTGCATGCCACAACTAAGTCCCAGCACAGCCAAATAAACAAACAAACATTAAATATATATAAGTATGTTTGTATATACACACAATGGATATTATTCAGTCATAAAAAAAGAATTAAATCTTGCCATTTGTAACATGGATGGACCTTGAGGACACTATGCTAAGTGAGATAGGTCAGACACAGAAAAACAAATACCATATGACCTCACTTACACATGGAATCCAAAAAAAGAAAAACCACCACCAAATTTACAGATACACAGAACGGAAACAGACTGGTGGCTGTCAGAGCTCAGAATTTGAGGGGAGGGTGGGAGAAATGGGCAAAGGGAGGCAAAAGATACAAAATAAGTGAGCCATGTATGTAACGCACAGCATGGTGTGACAGCTAATAATATTGTAATGCCTATTGAAAGCTGCTATGAGAATAGATCTAAAAAGTTCTCATCACAAAAAAATTTTTTAAACTATGTATGGTGAGAAATATTAACTAGACTTACTGTGGTGACGATTTCATAATATATACCAATGTCAAATCATTATGTTGCACACCTGAAACTAATAAACTGTTAAATATCAATTATACCTCAATAAAACTCAAATAGCATCAAAACTATAAAATAGTTAGGAATAAATTTAATCAAGGAGGTAGAAGATTTGTACACTGAAAACTGTATGATTCTAATGAAAGGAACTGAAGATGACACACATAAATGGAAAGGTAGCCTATGTCTATGAATCAGGAGAATTAAAGATGTTAAAATGTCCATACTACTGAAAGACATCTACAGATTCAATATCAAAATTTCCCATGGTATTTTTCACAGGAATAGAAGAAAATGCTAACATTCGTTAAGGCCCATGAAAGACCCCAAATAGCCAAAGCAACTGCAAGAAAAAAGCTGGAGGCCTATTTCCTGATTTCAAACTATATTACAAAGCTACAGTAATAAGTACAGACACGTGGACCAATGGAACAGAATCAAGAATCCAAAAATAAAACCCCAGCATACACAGTTAACTCCTATTTGACAAGGGAGCCAAGAATACTCAATGAGGAACAGATAATCTCTTCAATAAAAAGTGCAAGGGAAACTGGATAACCCTATGAAGAATAAAATTGGACCCCTATCTTACACCACTCACAAAACCTAACTCAAAATCAACGACAGACTTAAAACATAAGATCTGAAACTACATAAAACATGTAAAAGAAAACAAGGGGAAAACCTCCTTGACATTAATCTTGGCGGCCATTTTTTTGGATATGACACCAAAAGCACAAGGAACAAAAATATTTAAGTAGAACATCAAACTAAAAAGGTTCTGCACAGCAAAGGAAACAATCACAAAAATGAACAGGCAACCTATGGGGTGGGAGAAAATATCTACAAACCATATATTTGATATCCAAAATATATATGGATAACTCATGGTTATTATCAAAAAAATTAACAAATAACAACTGTTAATAGCATTTGGAGAAAAGGAAACCCTTGTGCACCACTGATAGGGATGCAAACTGGGACAGCCACTATGGAGAATAGTATGAACTTTCCTCAAAAAAGTAAAACTAGAACTACCATATGATCCAGCAATTCCACTTTGGGGTATAAATCCAAAGGAAATGAAAATTACTACCTCAAAGAAATAATGAATAAAGATGTGGTATATATATGTACTGTGTTGTTAGTCACTCAGTTGTGTCTGACCCCATAGACTGTAGCCCTCCAGGCTCCTCTGTCCATGGGTTTCCCAGGCAAAAATTCTGAAGCAGGTTAGCTATTTCCTTCCCCAGGGGATCTTCCCAACACAGGGATCAAACCTGGATCTCCTGCATTGCAGGCAGATTCTTTACCGTCTGAGCCACTAGGGAAATCCACATATATGTATAACAGAATATTATTCACTCATGAGAAAGAAGGAAACCATACCATTTGTGACAACATGGACGTACTTTGAGGACATTACGCTAAGTCAAGTCAGAGAAACACATAAATTGTGTGATATCACATATATGTGAGTCAAGGCTATGGTTTTTCCAGTGGTCATGTATGGATGTGAGAGTTGGACTATTAAAGACAGCTGAGTGCTGAAGAATTAATGCTTTTGAACTGTGGTGTTGGAGAAGACTCTTGAGAGTCCCTTGGACTGAAAGGAGATCCAACCAGTCCATCCTAAAGGAGATCAGTCCTGGGTTTTCACTGGAAGGACTGATGCTGAAGCTGAAACTCCAATACTCTGGCCACCTGATGCAAAGAGTTGAGTCATTTGAAAAGACCCTGATGCTGGGAAAGATTGAGGGCAAGAGGAGAAGGGGATGACAGAGGATGAGATGGTTGGATGGCATCACCGACTCGATGGACATGGGTTTGGGTGAACTCCAGGGGTTGGTGATGGACAGGGAGGCCTGGCGTGCTGTGGTTCATGGGGTCGCAAAGAGTCGGACACGACTGAGCGACTGAACTGAACTGAACATATATGTGAAATCTAAAAAAGCTGAATTCACAGAAACAAAGCAGAATGATGACTGCCAGGGAAAGGGCATGGTGGAAAATGAGGAGATGGTGGTCAAAGGCTACAAACTTCCAAGTCATAACATGAATTAAATTCTCGGGATCTAATGTACAGAATGGTGACTGTAATTAACAACAGTGTATTATATACTTGAGAGTTGCTAAGAGAATAGATTTTAAATGTTCTCCCCACAAAAAAGAAATGATAATTATCTGAGGTGATGAAGGAGCTAACTAACCCTTTTGTGGTAGTAATTTTGAAACATTTAAATGTATCAAATCATCACATTATACACCTTAAACTTACATAATGTTATATTTCAGTTTTATCTCAATACAGCTGGGAAAAAAGTTATAATTTAAAAACTAAAGAGCTAATTTAAAAAAAAAACCAGTAGAATCATTACTGCCCTTCTAGGGCTCAAGGTGGAAAAAATGTTTCCAAAAACATTAATCTAAGAGAAATCTCACAACATTCTGAAAGTGCTCATGTTCATGAACTGCATGCGGTATTGGGGAGCCTGGGCTGCCCCTGAGGGCATCTGCATTTCTAGGACTATAACCAAGTAACTGGTCCGATGGTGTGAAGGGCACCCAGGGAGGTAGCGCTGCTCACATCCACAAGTAATACTGTGGTATCACTTCAGGTTTCCCCAACAAGTTGAGTTTAGTGCCTAAATCTGGAGTTGTCTTAAGAATACAATCTAGTCTTAATTCAGTTTTAAAATGTAAGCTCCATAAAGAAATTTTATATTACTGGGCTAGTTTCTGATTTCCTAGATCTGCCTTGGTCTTAAAAAAAAAATTATATATATATACATATATACATACACACGAGTTAATAAGACTATTACAAACATGGCACTGTATTAAATGTTTTATATAATCTTCTGTGAGGTAGGCAGTATTATTATTCAGATTTTAC